TGTGTGTGTGTGTGTGTGTGTGTGTGTGTGTGTGTGTGTGTGTGTGTTGCTGTTTTTGGTTTGGTTTGGTTTGGTTTGGTTTGGTTTGGTTTGGTTTGGTTTGGTTTGGTTTGGTTTGGTTTGGTTTAGTTTGGTTTGGTTTGGTTTGGTTTGGTTTGGTTTTTTGAGACAGGGTTTCTCCATGTAACCTTGGCTGTCCTAGACTCACTTTGTAGACAAGGCTGGCCTCAAACTCACAGAGATCCACCTGCCCCTGGTTTGGGTTTGTTAAAACCCATGGCATGGGTAGGGCTGGCACTGTAGTTCAGTGAGTGAAGGCACCTGCCACCAACCCGGATGACCTGAGTTTGACCCTCTTGGGGGAAGATCAGAACTGACACCTGAACATTGTTCCTTGGCCTAAATGAGGTAGATGATTCCTGAAGAACAAAGCCTGCACCTGCACACACACAAGCACACAGAAAGAGACTGGGAGGTGGGGAGAGAAAGGGGGGGCAGGAAGAAGAACCTGTGTGTAAAAGATCCAAACTACTGAGGTTATCCTCAAGTAGACCACACCTCAAAGCATCCTATAGGTGCTTCACCCGGGTCTGGTCCCGAAGCCTCCACTCAAGGAATGGAGAAGTCCACATGCTAATGAGCCTCCCAAGACCTCAGCGGTACCCAGCAGAGAAGGGAGTCCTCCACAATGACATCCCCTCAGGTTCCCAAGGCAGGATTCACACCTTTAGAGACAGATAGACCACCTCTTGGCGAGCTCTCCTATGTCTCTGCACAAACCCGATTCGAGTTCTGAAGAATATAAAACCTGCCCCACTCCTGTGCCCTCTCCTCCAAACTTGCTCCCCCACATTACCTACAGCCTCAGTTCCCATTGTTGTCCAGTGCACCCGAGTCACCGGCCCTGGTGATATTGTTCCCATCCGGCCTGATCACCCTGGTATATCAGCTACCTGTTATGTCTGCCTCCCAAAGGTAGCATGCTGAAGACCACTGACTTCCAATCTCTGGTCCCTAGGACTTTAAGATCTCATCGTAGAACAAGTCAAGCACTCCATCGGGAACCAGGGTCTGGGTACAAGTGTGTCATTCCTCTGTCAGTGACTACAGAAGTAACTGGGCAAGAGGCCAGATTCTATAACAGACTACTAAAGCACGGCAAAGACCAGTCTGAAAGCTGGCCTGATGCTGAGGTGCCGGTACCCAAACCAAGAGGTCTAATCTCCCCACCACATGAAGACCGCTCATAAGAAAGCAACTGGGTGCAGGTGAGAGAGGCCAGTGTGGAGCAGGGGAGATTAAAACTAAACCAAGCCAGGCACAGCGACACACACTAATGATTCTTGTCGTGGGAGGACCGGAGCATGGGGCCAGCCAGCCCGACCCACATAGCAAGACCTTGTCTCAAAAAAAAAAAAAAATCTAAGTCAAAGATTTTATGCTCCTCCCAGCACAAGGGGAGAACCAGGAAAAACACTGTTTAACAAGGCAATCCACGCCTCTAGTCTTTCCTTTGACCAGTGACTTTACCTTTTTTAATATAACACTTGTATTAATTCTTTGAGAATTTCATATGTGCTTACAATGTACTTTGGTCATATTTCCACCCCCGCAATTCCTCTCCCTAACTCCTTCCAGATCCACCTTTACCTCTCCCTAACCCTTCCAGATCCACCTTTACCTCTCCCTAACCCTTCCAGATCCACCTTTACCTCTCCCTAACCCTTCCAGATCCACCTTTACCTCTCCGCCCCATTCCACTTTCATGTGGACCTAGGCTCAGACGGCTCAAATTGATACCAAGCCTCATCACCTGCATTCCAGAAAAGACTTGATCCCTGTAAGTTAACCTCTGACCTCCATGCAGGCATTATGGCAAGACAAGTACATGCATAAACAGTAAATAGGTAGGTAGGTAGATAGAGAGAGAGAGAGAGAGAGAGATATTTTTTGTTGTTGTTGATGTAGCTGGATACTGGGTAAACACATATAATCCTACATCATGAAAGGTTGGAGGCAGACAGATCAAGAGTTCCAGGCCAACATGGGCTACATGAGACCCTCTCTCTGAAAAATAAAAGTCTGAATATAGACAAAGGATTTCTGTAAAGAAGGCTTTACAACATGTGCTAGAGCTATGCCTCTGGCCTTGCCTGCTGGTTTCTTGTGGAATTTGAACAGCCTTTCTGGGTTCCTGGCTTTCTTTTCTGTCAGAAGGATTTCAGTACAGCCCAAGTGACATTGTCTTAGTCACGGGTTCATCTCAGCCCATAGGACAGGAAGCTCGCTCCCATGCTCATCCCCACGCTGCAATCACTGAGGGAGGTAGGGTCAGGGCAAAATGCACACACAGACACACGGGAGCATGTGTCCCACCCCACTTCTGTTCCCAAGTTAGTATTTCCACCATACGGCCTGGACTTGGGAAATTTTAACAGAGCCATGGATATTTCAAGGGTTCTGATAAATCTGAGAGTCCAGGCATAGAGCTGAGTCCTGAGTGAGTAGTCAGTAAATACTAAATCAATGAAAACATTTGGCCCCTGAGAGCCCTTCCTCAACCCCCCCGCCCCCCAGTGCCTGCCTTCTTCACTGGCTTTCAGGCAGAATCACTCTTGCTGGCTGCTGCCTACTAGGTGCCAGGTCACAGGAGTGTGTGGAAAGCGCTGAGGCTGTGGTCTGTAACAGGGTGCAGAAAAAAGAAGGCAAGCAAAGATAAACTCCTTTCCTCCCAGGCTTTGGGTGCAGCCCAAAGAGATTCAATTCAGGGAAGGCCTAATCGGTTTGGTTTCAAGTCCGCTGTTCAGTAAAGCCGCTGAATGCTAATCACAGAGTAACCTTGGAAACCAGAACCTGGTACCCAGCGAATGCTGTAGAAATGTGGCCACACCTGGGAAGGGCATGTTCAAGGCAGCCCTTCACAGGCTCCGGGTGCCCTTGGTTTGGGAGGTTTTATTTTCCACATGTATCTCTGTAAACACTGTCTGCTGTCGCCAGGCCAACCATCTGTGTCAAAGTCCCCAGAAGATGGGATGTGGCTTGTCCATCACTGTGTCACCTCCCAGCTCCTGGATTCTGAGAACGAAGGGAGTGGTGTTTCTAAGATGTTTCTAAGATGTGGAAGCCAGGACAGGCTCCCTTTCTCACAAAACCGGAGCTCTGCAAAGCTGAAGAGTTTCAGATGCTGAGGGAGGGGACTGCCCCTCTAGTGGCTGTGTGAATAATGACACAGTTATGAGAAAGAGTAATATCTCATGGCACTCACCAAGGCCTGGAGTATGGCTTGATGTGCCAAGATTATACTGTGTGTCCTCTATGAGTTGGGGAAGTCCCTCAAATTTCACCTCAGCAACATGACAGAAACCATTTGGGATCCTGGGGAGAGAAATTGGTTGGTCTCAAGAACTGTGAAATCATTTTCTGCTTGACCCCAGATCCCTGACAGGAGCCAGGCTGCCCCTCCTTAGGAAAAAAACAAAAAACAAAAAACAAAAACAAAAGTGCTTTGAATCATAGCTCCAGGAGAGGAGACTTCTGCCTGCTGAGGCTCAAAGACACACCTTCTGAATGAGAGAGGAATCTTTTCTATTCACAGTGACTCTGTGCTGAATAGACATTATGTAAGTGCTCAAAAATAGCTGTTTTAAAAGACAACTGAAGATTAAAACTTCCTGACTTTGACATCTCATAATACCAAGTTGTTTATGAAAATAAGATTATGCTGTATTCATGATCATTTAGTACTTACATAATGTTTCAGCTTTTGTATTTGGTATTTGAAAACACACAGACTGCTCTGTCTCTCCTGTTTCTTAGTTTTCTATTACGGCATATTTTGAGACAGGGTCTCACTATGTGGCCCAAAACCTATCTCTATAGGATAAGCCCAGGGTTGTCTGAAACTGGTTATTCTCAGCGATGGAATTCCTGGCATGTCCCACTACCCCTGGCTCTGCCTCTTTAAAATTTAATTGGCTTCTAATTTCTTTTCATGGGTGTATGTCAGTGTTTATAATATTCTATGAAGAAGAGATGGCTCAGTGCTTAAGAGCACTGGCTGCTCTTCCAGAGGACCTAACACTCTGTTCTGTTCCTAACACTCATGTCACAATTGGCTATAACTCCAGATTCAAGAAAACTTACATCAGCAGGCACCCATCACGTACACCCAACAGACATCACATAAATAAGTAAAAATATATCAACTGTGGTTGTTTGAATGAGAAAGGCCCCCATAGGCTCACATGTCTAAATGTCTGGTTCCCAGTGGGGAAACTGTTTGGGAAGGATTAGGAGGTGTGTCACTGGGGGTGGGCTTTGGGGTTTCAAAAGCCCACAGCAGACCCAGTCTCTGTCTCTCTTAGCGGTTATAGTTTCCAATGCCCACAAAAAAGTAAATTTTCTTATCCATTGAACCACTTTTTCTCATGATTCTAATTAGTCAGGGCCCAGTTTCATTCTTATCCAAGCCTTGGACATAAATATGGTCCTGTGGGTGTTTTCTGATGACTTTGCAGTGGGAAGGCCTACCCAACAGACTGTATGTTCCCAAGAAGATCCCACCCTAATCCCGGGCCTCCACATAGACTCCCATTGTGTGGCTGTGCCTCTGGGACCCGACTAGAGAATCTTGAACCCCTGACAGAATCCCAGCTAGACCTTCAGTCTGAGCAAAGCTCCCATCTTCTGTCTCCCACAGGGTCCTGTAGCATCCACAGCATCTGTGTTTTCTATCCTCTCCTCTGGGCCCGGTCTCCCTCCACCACCTCCACCACCACCTCCCCCTGGGCCACCTCCACTTTTTGAGAATGAAGGTAAAACTGAGGCCTCCTCTCCTTCTCGATCAGCCTTATTCGCCCAGCTTAATCAGGGAGAAGCCATCACAAAAGGTAAGAAAACAAATCCTTGAAGCCAGCTCCCTGACCCTCGGGTTCCAGGCACACGGATTCTCCAGGGCCCTAATGAAAAGGATGCACATCACTCTGCCACCATCCTTAAAACAAGGGAGGGCTAGGGGGTGGGGGATGGGGGGGGGAAGGAACTGCCTCTGGGAGGTGGGAGCCTAGGTGCTCTTCAGCTCCAGGAACCTACCCTCCACTGGGCTGCATTATGGACCAGTGGGAACTGAGAGATGCTGTGTTTCAGCTGACCAAGGAGTGGCACCCCCTCAGGCCCAGTGCTCCCCAACCCTTCTCCAAAACTAAGTCAATGACATCAAAGGAAATAAAAATAAACACTACATCCCCACCTGCCACAGAGTATTTGCTCTTGGAAGGTCTGTCGTGGAACTACCTTTGTCTTCATATAGCAGACAGATGATGGTTTTAATGTAAATGTTTAAAATGTGTCACCATCACAAGGACATGCATGCTGGGCAATATAGGCAGGTTGCCTATATTGTAGGTGTATTGTAGGTTTGTTGTTGCTTTGCACAACTAATAGGATTGAGGGCACAGAGGTCACTCTATGAGGGGCTGGGAGCTAAGAATTCAAACCTTCTAATTGATCCCTCTGAAACTCACTTGCAAAGTAAAGGAACTGACTTCTAACTCTAGAGGTGATTCCATATTCTGGAAAATACTTCCTGGGGTAGCATAATGTTTTAAACCATACCTGGCAATTTATGTAGCTGTGAGTAAACCTAGGAGTCCTTCGGGGTTAGATGGCTTGAGGGATTGTAAGGCTTTTTGTTTGCTTTTTGCTGGGATGGGGGGGTTGTCTCTTTAAAGACAGGTTTCTCCTCCGTGTTCATTAATTTTCTCGTTACTGTGATAAAATTCCTCACAAAAGCAACGCAAGCCCTGCTTGGGCCCACAGTTTGAGAGGATACAGTAAGGATCAATAAGGAAAGGCACATGAGCAGGAACACAGGACCGCTTGCTGCCATCACAGTGGGTCGGGATGCAGAGGGCATGAATACTGCTACTCAGTGCACATTCCCCTTTTACGTCATTCTGAAACCCCGGCCCATTGCGTAGGGCCACCCATACTCAGGGTGAGTCTTTTCTGCTCTGTTAAACATCTCTGCAAATTACCTCACAGACATGCCTAGAGTTGTGTCTCCTAGGTGATTCCAAATCCATCTGAGCTGACCCTTCACCTCCTCTTAATAAAACAGGAAGTATAGAGCAGACAGGAAGCGGGGCCAGGCTATGAAATCTCAAGACCCGCTTCTTCCATCAAGGATTCACTCATAAGTTTTTAATCAAATCTAAAGGTTCCACAACCACCCCACCCTCACCCCAAAAAGAGCATTATAGCCTGGAGATTAAGTTTTCCGTGGGCCTCTACGGACATTTACATCCAAACCACAATGCTCAATTTTAAATATATATGTACAACTTTTCTTTCAATCTAAACTTCACACAGGATGCAGCCTCTGCATAAAGACCTTGAGCAAGGGAGTGTTGTGAAAACAGTGATACCGAAAGCTCTTGTATACTTTAGACAATGGGTGTTTCCCCTTTCACTAGGTAGGAGGAAATGTACCTACCCTGTGACACCCTCTGTGCTAGGTTCTTTTCTGTTGTTGGGATAAAATATCCCGACAACAGTGACTTTCAGGAAGAGGGGGTTTAATTGGCTTACAATTCCAGGTTATAATCCATCACTGTGGGGAAGTCAAGGCAGGAACTTGAAGCAACTGGCCACATCACAGTCAAGAGCAGAGAGAGAACACACATGCACAGTATTCAGCTGGTTTTCCCTGCTCTTCCATCGACTATCTTGTCTAACATGCATGCAAAACCAGGAAATAGTGCTGCCCATGTTCAAACTGTCCTCTCATCAATCAAGACAATCCCCCACAGACGTGCCCACAGGCCAACGTGATCCAGAGAGCTCCCTTACTGAGATTCTTTTTCTAGGTGATTCTAGCTCAGGGCAAACTGACAGTTAAAACTATGTGTGACACCTTCCTAGGGCTCCGGCATGTCACAGACGACCAGAAGACATATAAGAATCCCAGCCTGAGGGCTCAAGGACAAATTCAGTCTCCAACCAAAACCCACACCCCAAGCCCCACCTCTGCAAAAACGAATTCTCCTCAGAAACACGCTCCAGTGTTTGAGCTGGAAGGGAAGAAGTGGAGAGTGGTGAGTGGGGTCCTCTAACATTTACTCTTAGCTAAAACCAACTTCTAAATGCCTAAAGCCACTTCCCGGAGACTCGGGGATTCCCGGGTGAAATGCCAACGTGCAGAAACACTCCTGGAAAGAGAAACCAGGTACTTCTCCAGGCTTCTTTTTTTTTTTTTTTTTTTTTTTTTAAGTAGCTCCTATGCATTCTTTCCTTCTACTTTCTAGAATGATTTTTGGGTTGTTGTGGTTTGTTTGGTTTGGTTTTCCAAGATAGGGTTTCTCTGTGTAGCCCTGACTATCGTGGAACTCCCTCTGTAGACCAGGCCAGCCTCAGCTCAGAGATCAGCCTGTCTCTGCCCATCGGTGCTGGAGTTAAAGATGTTTTTCACCACTCCCACTTAGGACTATTTTTTAAGGGTGGTAAAAATGCACATAACATTTACCATTAACCATCTTTAAGTGCACACCCCTGTGATGCTGGGTGTGTTGACACTGTCGTGTTGTCAGTGTCCCAAAGAATATTGTTTATCTTGAAGACCTCAACCTGTTAGACAGTGACTCCTATTCCTCCTCACTGTCATTGTGCTGTCTTTCTATGAACATAGCTGCTGATTTCCAAACTTTTAAGCAGGCAGAGGTGCAGCCGTTGGTATGTGCCTTGAGGTGATGGGCTGATTGCTTCGTTCATAGCAATAAACCACAGCTGCCACCCACCATTCTCAGGGGTACCTGTATGAGCAGGCCAGAGATGCTTTGAACATGGATGACAGCTGGAGTCCCCTGCTGGCTCAGAGAGCTTTCTAAAACATTAAGTAACAAAGTCCCTGGAAAGGTTGCCAGTGCCTGAAAGCACAATGGAGCTTGGACCACTGTTCAGACCCCAGCAGCTCCATCTCTTGATGGACACAGCAGGGTCTGATGCAGCATCAAGAAGGCTGTCGGTACCCAAGCCTACACAGCAACTGTACCCCTGCTCCAGCTCTGCCCCCCCAGCAGGGTTGCTCGCATCCGACTCTTAGCAAATTGATGCCCACTTGGAAGCGGTGGTTCAACCACTCCCATGATTACAATCGACAGCTCAGACCTGGAGGTGTCTCCATACGGCGAATGTCCTGTAAGAAAGCCCGCTGAAAGCCAAAGTTCTGTTGAAGCCTCTAGCAAGGTCAGCGCTCCGTGGAGTCAGCCTCTCTTTCTGTTTATGTTTAATATCCATGTCTGTTTTACCCTTAGGAATACCAACAGGATAGGAATGACCTTGTCATCTCAGAGACCGAGCTGAAACAAGTGGCTTACATTTTCAAATGTGACAAATCAACTCTTCAGATAAAGGGAAAAGTAAACTCCATCACTGTTGGTAGGCGAAACTAAGGCCGGGTGTCTGCTGTGATGAGCTGTGTTACAGAAACACACCATGTGTGTTGACTGGAGTCTTGTTTTTCCCTTTTAGATAATTGCAAGAAGTTTGGGCTGGTGTTTGATAATGTGGTGGGAATTGTGGAAGTGATCAACTCCAAGGACATTCAGATCCAGGTGAGCAGCCTCAACAGCCATGGCTTTGCATGGACCACTCGCCTTCCCTCAAGGATCAAAAGAGGGGACTCCTTTCTCATGTCCACCCAGAGAACATCTGATTCCTGTTCTCTCTAAACACAGCTCCATCATCACCTCTCTGCAGAAGCCCTTTGTTCTCAGCCACCCTTAGTTGGTCTTTGTTTTTAACTCCCATTTTGTACTGCAAACGCTGTGTTACCCTTTCAATCTTGAGGATGGCTAATGAGCTGGGGATGTGGCTAAATGGCCCACATGCAGGCACACATAAGACCCTGGGTTTTATCCAGCACAAGAAAGAAAAAAAGAAAGAAAGAAAGAAAGAAAGAAAGAAAGAAAGAAAGAAAGAAAGAAAGAAAGAAAGAAAGAAAGAAAGAAGAAAGCAATGCCAGCTAGGCAGTCTTTACTGTTCTAAACACTTATATAGCGTACTGGGTACCGTAGGTACCAGTAAATGTTGCTGAGCACAAAACTGGATGAATCTGCTACCATATGAATAAAGAATATTGAGAGACTATCCTAGGATAATATCTCCATACTAAAGAGAATTCCCCCTTGCGGGGGAAAGGCCCAAAGGAAGGGGCGGGGAATGTATAGACTCAGAAAAACAATCCACGAAGGATTGGAAATGAATTTTCAGAAACAAGAGAAAAATCCTTTAGTAATTTTTATTTTGTTAAATAGGCATTTACAACACAAAAATCTAAAGGACTTTTCTCACTTTGGGCCAAGTCCAACTTTTCTCATTGATTGTACTATTTGCATACTGTTAATTACCCTTTACAATCTGGTGTTTCCTTATGATGATTGACAAAATTAGATTTTAGTTATGTAAATCTTTCTCTCTCCTGGGTTTCTCTCCATTCACACGTTTAATTAGACCTCATTTAATTGTATATATTACATTTGTGTATTTGCCTTGTCATTGAAGGAGTTGGTTTGTTTATGCGAGCTGTATGGAAACAGCCCTGATTGGGCATCCTGAAGCCTGGATAGGAATACCAGCTCTGCATGCACATCTGATAATCCCAGGGAAAGGGGAGGTTACAAACATGCTGCAATCAAATAAAAGCTATCTCTTGAGATCGTACAGCAAAGGCCATATTTCATTTAGAAGAATTGCTACTGACATCAAAAGCAAGAGCTTTCTTCCTATCCTTATTTCTATTCAGCAATGCATTAAAAGGACCTAGCTCCTCAATAAGATAAGAAAAATAACCAAGAGTGATAAAATTGAACAGGAGGAGATTAAAATGTCTTTATATGGCAATGAAATGATTGTTTTATATAAAAGCCAAGAGACTCAATAAGACAGGTATACTATCAACAGGGGAAAAAAAAAACTCTTGACACCACAAATAAGCATTAGGAAATGTAACATAAAATAAGATTCAGAATAGCAACACAGCTGAAGGGAGCCAAGTAATAAATCAACAAAAGAAACAGAAGGAATGTGTAAAGAACCCAGAATAGTTGTAAATTAATTGACCAAGAAGACACCAGTATCATCTCTCTCTCTCTCTCTGTTTATTCTGTAAGTGAGCAAAGCTCAGATATTTCAACAGGACTTTTTAATTAAAGAAAAAATGAAATTCATTTGGAAGGTAAGTGAACAAAAAAGGTAGGGCTGGAGGAATGGCTCAGTGGTTAAGATCAACCGCTGCTCCTGCTCCGATACAGGACCTGAATTTGGTTCCTCCTAGGCACCAAACTAAGCTGCTCACAACTGCCTGTAACTCCAGCCCCAGGACACTTGACACGCTCCTCTGAACTCCACAGGGACTGCACTCACATGCACAAGCCCACATGCAGACACACGTGACACACATAATTCAAAAATAAAATAATTTTAAAAGGCTAGATAAAATAATTTGAAAGCAGATGAACAAGGTGAATTGAGTCATCCTAAGGTGTCACATGGATGGAGATTTTTTTTTTTTAATTAAAAAAGAAAAACAGACTAGCAAGCCATGAAGTAGACAGGTGTGTACAGCAAAATGGGTTTTAGGATACTTGGTTATTTACACAGGAAAACAATATTGAGGAGCTGGAGAGATGGCTCAGGAGTTTAGTGCAATGGCTGCTCTTCCAGAAGACCCACGTGTGGTTCTCAGCAGCATCATAGCAATTCACAACCATCTGTGACTCCAATCTCAGGATCTGTGGCCCTCTTCTGGCCTCCACAAGTACTGCACACACGGTACACAGAGATGCATGCAGACAAAACACCCATACACATAAGGAAAATATTAAAAATAAAACAACCACTGAATCTCTGCTTATTCTGGGCTGAGGATTGAGTTCAGTGGTGAAGTGTTTACATAACATGGGTGAGGTCCTAGGTGTAATCGCCAATAACACACACACACCCCATAATTTTCTTTTCTTTTTTTTTTAAATTTGTTTAGGCGTGAGTGTTCTGTGTGCATATACAGTGCACACCAGAAGAGGGCATCAGATCCCATTATAGATGGTTGTGAGCCACCATGTGGTTGCTGGGAGTTGAACTCAGGACCTTTGGAAAAGCAGCCAGTGCTCTTAATTGCTGAACCATCTCTCCAGCCCCACAATTTTCTTAATCTATATTCAACAGAAGATATGATATGCAAAGCTGAAAGGCTAGTGGAAGATTGAGGAAAGACAGTTGAAATGTAGATAATAGAAGAGAATTTGCATGTGGATCATGTAAAGACGATAACAAAGACCAAAAAGTGAGACTCAAAACTTGTGATCTAATAGAAAAGTAAGCGGAGACTATTGACAATTCAGAGACATAAAAAGTGAAGCGGTTGGCACACATATGAAGATATGCTAGTGTAACAGGAGGAGCGGTGTGAATGAATACTCCAGTCACAGATTCGTTTTCACACTCAAGCTCTTTTGCATTTGGAATGCCCTTGCTCTGTGGAGTGCTGCATGCGTGAAATCTAATGTGTAAAGGAGCTGCATGCTAACATGTCTGACATATGAGCTGTAATGGAAGTGGCACACTGGGGTCCTGCAAGAACCTGGCACACTCACTGCAGGACAAATCAGCATGTTCTAATGACATGTCTGTAGGCTGTGGCTGAGTCATTGTGTGTTTATGTCCATACGGTAAGACTCTAGTCACAGACTAATGAAACATGGAAAGCAAATAGAAACCAAAAATATTTAAGTGTCCACCAACCAGCAAATGTTTCTGTCTAGTTGAACACTATTCAGCAGCTAAAATGAACACAGTATATATACTTAGCAGCATTAAAAAAAAAAAAAAAAAAAAAAAAAGGGTGACTTTCAAAAACAGGTAAAAAAAAAAAAGCATTGAGCAAAAAGAGTAAGTTACAGGGCGGTGTGTACTATGTGATATATCCATTCATTAAAAAAATATAGTGTGTAAACCAATTCATACATGACCTATCAAGGTGCCTTCCTGGGCACTTAACCCAATAGACAGATCATAAGCAAAAACAAAACAAGAAAAAGCACGTGAAAACAATAAAAAAAAACAGAAGAGTAATTATATACAGGGGGAAGGAATGAGGAGGAAGTGAGGGAAAGTGAGGTGGAAGACAGTGTCCAGGGGACTTCAGTGATTCTGTGAGGTTTTAGTTCTTGGAAAGAAAAAACAGAAGTTGAGTGTGTGCTGCACACCTATAATCCCAGCACCTGGGAGGACTCTTCACAGTTAGAGGCCAGCTCAATCTGTATAGCAAGTTCCAGGCTAGCCAGGGCTACAGAGTGAGAGCCTGTCTCAAAAATAAACAAACCAACACAGCAAAGCCAGGTCTGACAGGGTCCACCTGTGACCGCAGCACTTGGGAGGTAGAGACAGAAGAAGGATCAGCAATTCAAAGCCATTCTCGGTTCCATGATGTGTTCAAGACCAGGCTATGCTACATAAGACCCTGTCAAAAGGAAAGAAGGAAGGGAGGGAGGGAGAGAAGGAGGGAGGAGAGAAAGAGAGAGAGACAGAAAGAAAGAAGGAAAGGAAGGAAGGAAGGAAGGAAAGGAAGGAAGGAAGGAAGGAAGGAAGGAAGGAAGGAAGGAAGGAAGGAAGAAAGAAAGAAAGAAAGAAAGAAAGAAAGAAAGAAAGAAAGAAAGTTAGTTTTCAAACACACCAAAAGGGAACAAGGCAGAATGTAACCCTGATAAAGTTGTTGCGGGAAGTATATGTATCTCTTATTCTTTGTATGTTTCTATGCCTGAAATATTATGTAGCGTTTTTAAGGATATGACCCCATACTGTGAACAGTCCTCTCTGGAACAGTGAACCATTGGTTGCCTGTGTAGGGAGGCGGAAGGAACAATTCAGGGACAAGAGAAACACTTGCCAGAACCCTTAGTGAATTTTTGGAGAGTGCCATTACTTAGTTAAAGTGCCTAGTAAATTGTCTGAAAGGGCCTGGACACAGCTGAAGCAGAAATCAGTTACCTGCCTGGGGCTGAGACGGGGACAAACTGTGGCCATTAGTGATATTTTTAGAACGGCGGGACTGCTCTACAATTGGCTTGTAGTCCTGATTGCACAACTCTGTACGTTTTTGAAATAGCATCCAATTGTGCACATAGCATGGATGAGTTACATTTTACTACAATAATGTTATTTTTTTAAAGAAAAAAGCTAAAGTTTGTCTAATTTGGCCTGGTAATCCTATTGTTGGCAAAATGTTTTAGGAAAACATACAGACTGAGGAAGACGGGCAACCGTAGTCTGTGGAAATTTTTTAAATTATCCGGGAGAAATAATATTCATAAGCCAATCCTCCGGGAGTCACTGGCAGTTCATAGCTTTCCTTTGTTTGACTGGTGGTATCCGGGGTATTCAGGCTTGTGTGTAAATGCTTATCATCATTATAATGTAAGCAAATCTAGAAGTCATGAAAACATGAGCACTGGCACATTTTAAAACACACACACAAAGATTCATTCTCTCTGTCTCTCTGTTTCTCTTTCTCTGTCTCTCTCTGTGTGTCTCTCTGTCTCTGTCTGTCTGTCTGTCTGTCTCTCTCTCTCTCTCTCTCATGAATTTATACTATTTTATTTCAGGCAGAGCCCTGCCTGTACTTACCTGACCTTAAACTACCCAGCTTGACCTTTCTTTTGGTCTGGGGTTCAATTCCAACTCAGTATCCAGTTTCTGTGGAGCCAGAGGAGGAGCAAGAGAAGCACGGTGACCCGGCTAGATGCCCCCCAAGGAATTCTTTAGGGCACCTGTACCACTGACAGAATTTGTTCCTTTGGTTTGCAAACTAGCCTTTTCTTCAAGTTGAAAGGAGAGATGTCTTTATTGCTTTAATTACCATCACAAGAAGGAAAGTTCTAGAGTTGTAATAAGGTCTTTGGGAGAATGGTATACCCCTGTGGACATTGGGGGAAGGTCTGAAAACTGATTGTTAGAGGGGAAATTTAAAACTGATCTGAATTTTTACTGGACTTAGATATTTGTAAACAGTACAAAGCACTGCCTCCTCCTCCACAGGGTCCCGATTATGCCAGGCTGAGCTCCCGAAACCAGTTCATTTTGAAATACCTAGACACCTATCTCATTTGAACTTCACCTTCAGCCCTCGGATTCTTACCCAGCAGATGACTTACGTGAGAAGAATTGGAGAGTTTCTTACTTATTCTAAAGTTTGGGAACAATATACTTGGCTCCTGCTCAAAATTAATCTTACTGTCTAGCATCTGTATGGATATTTGTTTTTGCCCCAGCTTCAGAGATAACTGTTAAAACTTAAATTTTAAGCAAATGAATCCTGTTTCTCTTATCGTGAAATCAGATATGCATTTCAGATTCACTAATGGAGTTGTGAGCCTTTTCTGAACATTTTAGCTGCTGCCTCCAAATTAATCCCTTAATTTCATTGCAAGAAAGAGACCCTGGGCATTTAAGATTCCCCTTTGTATAGCCCTTTCATTCTAACCCCAAATGACACCTAGCCCACACGCAGACACACACATAGACACACACACACATAGATACAGAGATGGACAGACAGAAAGGCAGGCAGGCAGGTAGGCAGGCAGGCAGACAGAGAGCACACTGTCCCACGAATCCTAAAGCTAGACTCTGGAGGAATTCCAGAGAGTAAGTGCTTAGGTACTTGATCATTTTTACTTCATTGCTTCAGCCCCATTTTTTCCCTTACTTCAGGTGATGGGGAGAGTGCCAACAATTTCCATTAATAAGACAGAAGGATGCCACCTGTACCTCAGCGAGGATGCGCTGGACTGTGAGATCGTGAGTGCCAAGTCATCCGAGATGAATGTCCTGGTCCCTCAGGGTGACGATTATGTAAGTACCTTCCAAAAGCCTGTCCAGAAAAGGTCTGGAACATGTTCACATCAGCATTCTCAGTGAGCAGCTACCGTCTAACCAGCCTCACATGCAGACAACTTCACAGGCAGGTGAGGGACAGGGGAACACCTTCCATGTGGTCCCTCTCCCGTCAGGCCCTGTGGTTGTGTCTGGAAACTCTTGCCTAATATTTGCTTGGATGAGGCAGCTCTTTGCATCTGAGTTCCTGTTGTGTGGGGCTAAATGTTTTCCTTTTCTCTGATGGAGATAAACCAATGAGGAGAGCTGCTTTGGGGGTTAAGAGGAAAGGAACAGAAGGAGTAGTCATAGACCTACATGTTTCCATGCACTGAAGCCAAAAAAATGTTATAATGTTCCTCTTAGCATAATGATCTACTGGGAAGCTCACAGAAAGGTAGGCTCCAAACCCTGGGCAAAAGCAGGGTTGGATTCAGAAGCCTCACAATGGGGCCTGGAATCTGAATTCTCTGTGTATGCTGTGGAGGAGCACAGACCTGCCATGACGCATGTAGGGGTCAGAGAAGAACCTCAGATACCAGTCCTTGCCTTCCTCCACCTTATTTGAGACAGGGTGTCTTGTTCACCACTGTCTAAGCACATTCTGAGCTTCTGGGGGTTATCCTGTCTCCTCCTTCCGTCTCGTAACAGAAATGCTGAGATGGCAGGCATGATTATGTATGAGATTTCGAGGTTCAAACTCAGGCCCTCCTGCTTAAACAGACAAGCACTTACTGAATCATCCCCCCATCCCAGAATCTTGACTCTTAGCAGGCTCCCAAGTCAGTTCTCATACCATCAGCCCATTGAATCCCCCCATTTAGAAACACCAGCCCAAGCCAGAATTTTCTTTCTCTGCATCTTCTCCCCGATGAAGCAGCTTCTAGAAGAATCACGTAGATGTCCTCACATGTGAAAGTTGAGTAAGACTGAATAAATCTTGTTTTTTTGGATTCTGAAGTCCACCAGATCTGCTGGTTGCTATTACGTGGAAGTAGGAAGAAAAACAGGAGGAGAATTCTAAGTCTAACTTTGTGGGGCAGGAGGAGGCAGCAAACAAGAGATTCAGCCAACTTTCAGGAGAGGAGAGGGGCCACAGCAGCCAGGAGGGTCAGTTACCAGCCATCTAGAGGTTGCAATCAGCAACCAGCAATCACCAGACGGGTTGATTTCCTTAAGCAGAGATTATCCATATTCATCAGTACTATCTTCAGCTCTGTCTACCCCCAATATCATATGCTGCAGCCTATGGAATTCCTCATTTGAATTTAAAGCATAGTACCCTGCAAACAGTGGGTCACTGGTTCACACTTGGGGTATGGAGACTCTAACCCTAAGCTAGGCAAGTATTCCCTCTCGTGTTCTCAGCCGATACAGACAGGCAGTGGAGCAGTATGGCCTGTGTTGGGCCATCCCTGCTCTGTGTAGCTGTTTAAGCAGAGTATTCAGCTGTGTGGGAACTGGTCAGGGTTTGGATGAGCACTTCAGACTTCTCTGGGCGTATCTCTGAGCTGCTACCAGGCATCTGAATTGTTAAAGATGTTCAGGTGGATTCTGCTGGAGCCCTGATTGACACCCACAGGCATAGAAGCAGCGATTCTCAACCTGTGGGTCCAGACCCCTTTATGGGGGTGGGGGATCAAACAGCCCTTTCATGGGGTTTCCATATCAGTTATCCTGCATATCAGAAACTTACATTACTGTTCATAAGAGTGGCAAAATCACAGTTATGAAGTAGCAAGAAAAATAGTTTTATGTTTGGGGAGGAGGGCCATCACAACATGAGGGACAACGTTAGGAAGGTTGAGGACCAGTAAGTGAACTTAGAGAATGAAATATAATTAAAGCCTGATTATATCAAAGGCTGGCTATTTTGCATATTACAGCAGGAGGCGGGAGGCAGCCGTACAGGCCTTGCCTTTGTTCGTGTTAGGGTGTGAGAGTGGGCAGTGGGCATGTGGTCCGGATAGGAGCCAACCTCCCGGAGGAGAGGCATGGATGTATCGGTTTCCTGGGTGCTGGAACCCCTCACTACCAAAGGGGCTCCTTCACGTCTGGGCATGGAGCTCAGAGATGTATGCTCCTAGCACTCGGCAGGGCTGAGGTCCCATCTGCAACTCCAGGTCTGCAGCCTTCTGCTTGAGAACAAACACAGAGCTTTGTTTACCCTTGGAGAAGAGCACCCGAAGTGACACCAGGCGCACAGGTACACTAGATTACTCAAGGTATTGCCATCTCAGGCGAGAAACCATGGCACACATTTGTTGTCTTAGTACTTTGGAGGCTGGGGTAGGAAGCTCATGAGTTCAAGACTAGCCGGGGCTCCATAGCATTAGCCCCTGTGTCAAAGATAATTTGGTTTTACGGACTGAAGGTTTTGTTCTAGAACTCTTCCCTTATTACAGCAAAGTAAGTAAGTTACTTCTCAAGGAGTCTAGTGAGGCTCCGGAAGCCAGAGCTGAGGAGCTTGAGCTCATTGTGTGTGTGTGTGTGTGTATGTGTGTATACATGTGTTCATGCATTTGTGTGTGTGTGTTTTCACATGAATGAATGTGCACATGTTCTCCTATCTTAACAACATTTTCACACTGTCTCAAAGAGTAGACAAGTCTGGGCCCCTTTCACACGCTGATGTCCCCTGAGATGAGCAGAGCTTCTCATTCTCTTCCCCAGCCTTGCCAAATCAGAATCCACGTGTTGATAATATAGGCTGAGTCAGGGCGTGATCCGGTTTGATGGAGATCTGTGGCTAAGAGAGACTGCCTGGGCTTACACACTGGCTGTTCTGCTCACTGGTACCGCCATTCCAAGGCAGCTGCTGAACGTCCCCAGCCTCTGCTCCCTGCAGATGGCCTCTCGGCCTCTCCGCCTCTCAGCAGCACTGACCTTGTGTGGTCTTTGGAGATTGCCTGGTTTGTCTCATAAGCCTCTAACCTGAGGCTCTGGGTATAGCTCAGGTGTAGCATTTCCCTACCATGAATGAGGTCCTGGGTTCTACATTAACCACACACCTGTGATCTCAAAACTCAGGAGGCTGAGGCAGGAGGATCCGTCAGACTCGGTCAAGTACATAGTGTGTTCAAAGCTAGCCTGAGTCCGCCACGAGACTTGTCTTGCCAGCCTGGTTCTTCTTAAACACCAGCCATGAGGACAACCCCAGCATCTAGTCACAGACCACATGGGTCCTCCTGTGACTGGATCGTTTCTGTGATACGGAGTGGGATGTGATGCAGTTTCTTTTGCCCATCACGGCACGCCCATCAGCCTTCTACCTGTGTGCAAAGGGAAACTTTCACATCAATAACTCTGTCCTTCTCAACTTCTTCCAGAGAGAATTCCCCGTTCCTGAGCAATTCAAGACAATATGGGATGGATCCAAGCTGGTCACCGTACCTGCAGAAATTATGGCCTAATCTCCAGGAGATACTCTTCCCAGAGTCTGCTCTAGCAAAGAGAAGCAAGCAGCTAGTAGATTTCAGCACACACCCGTCCTGTGTCAGCATCCTGAAGTTCTGTGCTGTGGAAACGGTGTCTTTTCTGGCACACTTTTGTGGGCACTTTGAAATATTTAACATTTGATCATGATTTGTGTGTGATTTCAGTTCCACATGATAACTAGTGAGCACATCAGAATTAAAAAAAAAAAAAAGAATCCTGTTCCCATCATATCATGAACTCTGTAACTGGTAAATAAAGGCCCCCGCTCCTTTCTTCACTTAGATTCAATTGCTGGTTGAAAAATGAAGCCTTAGAAAATATATGTATGTTTTCACCTTTTAGACAAATTTAATATGATGAAATAGTCTTGTGCCCTGAAAAATACGACTCTAACTTTCATTTTTACATGTTCACCATTATCAGCATGGATATCTTGCCAACAGGAACATATACTTCAATTATGTTTTTACAAACACACACATACGCACCAAGAGGGAAATTCTAAGGACCAAACTCAGTTTCTAGGTCCTGGGGAAAACAAAATACCCTTCATAGTTACTGAAAAACAACAGGCGTTCTAACCATCCACCTTAAATATTTTTCTGCTGAGTCACTTGAAAACTCTTACTTGTCTGCCTATTCTTAAGACAAAGGGCAGGAGGGGACTCAGTGCTTGTTTTTTGGGTTTTGGGTTTTGGGTTTTGGGTATTTTGCTGTGTAATACTTCACAGTTCTGCTCCAACAGCTCAACCTTTGCTTTCTGGTTTTGAAGTCGCTCATGCTACCGACCACCCCGCTCAGGTCGCTAACGCACATTAGAGGTGAGCTCCTTTTCCATCGGCCAGGCTCGCTGGCGCGAACCAGCTAACCAGCCTCAAAGATGGACTCCGAGAGCCGCCCCATTGCTGCCCGCAGCCCGCGTTGCTTGGCTCTGCTCCGGTCCTCCGGTTTGGATAGTACTCGCTTTTTTTTCAGGTGAACAAACGCTCTCTGTGTCTCCCCTCTGCACACGGCTGAGAACGCTGCAGCTTTTTAGGTCACGGGTAACGAAATGGAGCGCGGTGCTTTTGGAGCCCGTGGGAGCTAGGCTGTGCGTATGAGGGCCTGTCTGAATATCATTTTCAGTTTCTGAATAGCTTCGATATCCATACGGTATTCAGGTCGGTGATGTTTGCGTATCAAGATTTTGCTATAGACGTTCCGTCCTTATGAATCATGTTGTGGCTTAAGTAAATATAATTTTTGAAAAGTAAAGTTATACTAAGTAAAACAGTAATTGTTTAAGTACTGAAATGAGTTCTGGTTTGGTTTGGGGGGGGGTTGTTTGTTTGTTTGTTTGTTTGGAGTTAGCAGAGATACGAAGTGAGAGATGGCTCAGCCGCTTGAGGTGCTAACAACCAAGTGTGACAGCCTTAAGTTTGATCCGCAGGGAACCACGTGGTGGAAGGAGAGAAATGACGTACACAAGTTGTCCTCTGAACTCTACGTGTACATCAGGAATATGCATGCCAGCACACACACACACACACACACACACACACACACACACACACACTTGCACACACAAATGTACAATGTTTGTTTTTTTAATTGATCTTTAAAAAAAAAAAGTCAAAATGGGACTAGAATTATGGCTCAACAGTTAAGAGCTTGGCTGTCCTTGTAGAGGGCCCACGTTCAATTCCATCAGCCTCCTGGCAGCTCACAACTGTCTCCTGGAGGGATCGGACGTCCTGGTGGGCACCTGCCTGCCACTAGGGCACTCACACACTCAGTCACACACATACACATACAGTTAAAGTTTAAAGGTCAAAAGGAAAGCCGCCATCAGAACGTATTACATATTTGCATTATAATGGCCTTACATAACACAGTTTTTAAAAATTTAAAAATAAGAAGGAAAGAAAATAAGTGGCAGGAAGTCAAGCACCAAGGTCCTTCCATGTCGCCTTAGTATTTCAGGATGAAAATGGAAATCCCAAAGGTAGTCTTTGCTGTAACTCCTTTCCTGGATAACACTGCGCCCAGCCCAGCTAAATTGCTTCTGAAAGTCTTCGTCTTTGCGTTGAGACATCTTGAGGTGAGTTGGTTCTAAGCCACATGCCTGTGGAAATGATGGGGATATATATATATACCGTGCAGTTCCTCTGTCTCTTCGCTCACTGGAAGTGTTTACATCACCATCTTAGAAAGCATGACTGGGTGTCGGGAATGCTGTCACTTTAAAAGGGGCGGAAGCTGGCATCAGGGGACATCAGGCCCTTGCACGGGGAGAAGGGAGACAGCCGGCCAAGTGAAGGCTGCAGCACCTTGTTCTGACTGTGCTTTGCCTGGTCACGCATCTCTCTGAAGTGTTGACAGTCACCACGCCCAGTGGCTTCTTCCCACTTATCGGTAAAGTTCAAGACGCTGCCCTTCCCTGGTTGAGCTCCCTTTGTGTGAGAAGTATCTCTGCCTCCTCCCATCGCTACCTCTTTAGTTCCTCCGTGTCTGTCTGTCTCCCTTCAGGTCACTGCTTGCATAGATGACTCCCAGACCTACCTTCGTCTGAAGCCATCTCTGTAAACATAAGGTTGGAAGGGAGGCAGAGGCATTTAAGAACCTTAAACGAAGTTGGGGTTTTGAAAAATTTAAGCCTACACCTCTCCCCACATCTCCCCAGTTCCTGATTCTTGATGTCCATAAACCACTTCTATCTGTTTCTCCCAACGGTGTGGCCAAAGCCACACGCTTACCTACAGTTTTCCTCAGCTGCCTGTACAGGTTAAGGCCATGTACATGTCACCTGTTGCTCTGTTTAAATACCTAATAAGAGGCAATTTCAGAAAGGATGGATTTGTTTTTGGCTTAGAGTTTTAGGGGATATGGTCTGTCTCCGTGGGGAAGGCATGGTAGTGGGACCATGAGGTAGCTGGACACAGGGAGCTAGACAAGAAGTGGAGCCTGGCAATCCCACCTCAAAGCTCCTGACCCGCATCCTAAAAGAGTTCCATAAACCCACAAACGCAACATCCCTCCCACAACTGCTCAAACATATGAATCTGTGGGGGGACATTGCACACTTAAGCCACAACAGGCCGCTCATACTTCCCATCATAAGATTTGTAATTATCCATTTCCTGTGATAGGACACACAGACAGGAAGTGAAGATGGGGGCATAAACAGTCCAGTCTTTTTTTTTTTTTTTCAGTACAGTGCTTGAGATAGTCTTTGTAGCCCAGGCAGAACTGGAGCTTGCAAGTAGCCCATGCTGGCCTTGAATTCACAGCGATTCTTCCACCACAGCCTTGTGAGCCATCATGGCTGACTCAGTTTCAGTTTTAGGCTTGTGTTTTCAGGATATCTTTGTGGCATATAACTAAAAATGTCAGCCAATAGCTATGCGGGCCTAGAATCCTTGTCTCTGACAACAGCTCCTTAGGAGTTTATTTCACGAGCTAAATATTTCAGAAATGAATCTCATTACGCATGTTCAATACAAAGCACTTGTTTTTAAAACAGTGGTACTGTCTGTCCCACTGTAGCTACACATGCAGTTTTGACAGCCGTTCTGAAGGCTTTTGTCCCTGCAATGGGGACACACTGGTTTTATAATGTTAGTCTTCTTGAGCAAATTTCAATATTTCTGTCTGCTCTGCATGTAGAAGAGAAGGCAGCTTGATCACCCTACTGATGTTCACCTAGATTGCCCCAGATGGCTTTTGTTCCTCTGTTTGTTTACTAACTTGGCACAGAATTTACAACGAACAAAGGGTAATGTTTGCCCAGAAGAATCTGTGTTCAGGTTTCCCTCCAGCACAAAGTCTGGTTTCATAGTCAAAGATAAGGTTTTTTGCCTTAAGCTGCAACTTTAGATGTTTGGGGGTCTAAGTCCACTTTCTTTCTTTTAATACTTTGCATTTTAGAAGGAGGATATGGTGACATATGTCTGGAATCCCAGAGCCGGGAAGGTTGAAGTGGGAGGTTCAGGCTTTCAAGGTCATGATCAATTCCAAAGTGAGTTCAAGGTCAGCTAGGGCTACATAAGATCATGTCTCAAAACAACAACAAGTAAAAAACATTTTAGGCCCATCAGTGATCATTTTAAAAATGATGCCTCATTATGACACAAAGAACCATATGAAAGATAGTCTCCTTACTAAATCATAGTGCCAATTTTTAAATTCCATTTGCCAACATCACAGGAAAAAAAATCTTTAATTAAAGAATCAGCTGATGCTGAGCAGCTCAGTATTGATAGAGTGCTTGGCTCCCAAGCATGAAGCCCTGGGTTCAAACTACATTAAACAGATATGGTGGCTGAGCTTAGGAGAAAAGGGCAGGAAGATCAGAAGTTCAAAGACATCCTTGGCTACTTAGCAAGTTTGCAGCCAGCCTGCGTTGCATGAGACCTTCTCTATAAACAAGTAAATGAATCAATATATGAAGCCAGATGGCAATTCCCTGAGATCAGTAGTTCGTATCGGCAACTAAACTTCCTGTCTGGTTAAAATATTTTTAACAGTAACCTTACAAATAGACAAGTTTTATGAGAAAATCAAGAAACCTGCTAGAGAAGTCTTTTTGTGAATAAAACAATTGTGTAGAGTTGATTAGGAAGTTCAAGATTGGCTTGCAAAGACTGATGGTCCTTTCTTGTTCATTGTTCCAATGGGGCCCAGTCCGGTCCACACACAATGAATGAAGTGCTTCGCCTGGCAGGGCTGACACTAACAACACATGTCCCCACAGCACTGCCTGCAGCTGTCCTGCTTCCTGAGTTTTGATCAAGTTTCAAAGTTCTAACACAATGCCAGAGTCAGGTGAACACAAGCTATCAGGGCCAGGAACATGGATGATTTCTACAACCTAGTTTCAATAAATGAGTCATCTTTAATGGACGTTTAAAGGCCTCCCTCCATGGTATCACTTCAAGGAGGCAAGGTGAGAACTATTTATAAGAGCTGTATCAAAATACTTCAGAGAAAAGACTTCAGCCCTAAGAGGTTGAGGTAGGAAAATGAGGTTGAGCCAGCCTGGGCTACAATGAGATAGCTATCAGAGAAAGGGCAGGCTGGATGATTCAGAGGGTGAGAGCGCTTGTACAGAGCTAAGTACCTGAGTTTAATCCCTGGAACCCACAGGGGAACGTGGAAAGAATCAGTCAACTCCTGAAAGCTGTCCTCTGACTTACACATAGGCCTGTTGTACAGTCACAAACACATAGATAGATAGATAGATAGATAGATAGATAGATAGATAGATAGATGATAGATAGATAGATAGATAGATAGATA